TGTCCTCCCCAGGATCTAGCCTCCACCCTATGTCTGAGGCAGTAGGAACTTAACATTAAAACAGAAGGGAAATATGGCAATTGAGTAATTTTATTTTTTTATGGAACGCAAGAAAACAGACAGCCATAAGATTTTTTATAGCTTTTGCCTGCATGATTTGAGGTTTGGTGAGAATAGTCTACTGAAGAAATGACCAAAAGATGATCCAGGGCAATCTTTCAGGGAATATGTACAGAGAGGCCATATTCGGGGGGCTTAAAATAAGGAAATATGATCCAATAAAGCAAGCTTAGTATTGCCGAGGACATTGAAGAAAGAAAGAAATGTCCCACAGATACCAACATATCCATAGCAGCACTTTTGAACGTTGTATTTTATTTTTATTGATATCTTTTGATGTACATCTCATTCATTTCCAAAGATATCCCTTTCCCTTTCTCTGCCAAGAGAGCCATACCTTGTAACAAATGTTTAAAAACAAGAGAATAAAAATCAGTACAGCAAAACTAACCAACACATTACCTGTGTGTTAATCTTTATGATGTTCCATAGCCATTGTCCTTCACCTCTGCATGAAGGGAAGGAGGCACATGTTCCCAACTCTTCTTCAGAGGCAAGCTTGGTCGTTATAATTATGCAACAAGATTCCATTTTTCTTGTTCTTTCACAATTCTGAGAGAGTTCATGCAAGTCTTCCCTTCACCAAATTCTTAATATTCATTATTTTGCACGGCCCAGTAATTTTCTATTATATTTATATGCTGTTTTCTTTTTTCTTTTTTGGCCATTCACCAATTGGTGAACACCCATTTTGGATCTATTTCCTTGATCCAATAAAAATGCTGCTACAAATATTGTGGAGTATGAATATAATGGCATATTATTAGTACAAGCATGAATGTGAAGAATTCAGTGAAATATCAGAAGACTTGTCAGAAGTGATGCAGAGTGAATAGAGTATAACAGTATAGCCAGTGACAACGAAGTGAATGAAAACAACTAAAAGGCAGTTGAATTCAGCTTAATTAGAATGACCAATCTTGTCCCTGGAAAAGAAATGTTGAAACCACTTTCCATCTTCTTGTGAGAGAGATGGAGCATGATGGGGTTAGAATATCATATGCATCGATGTCAGATGATATTGTTTTGTCGATTGTTTTTATTTGTTATAGAGTAGGGTTCATTTGGGGAGGTATGTTGAGAAATGAATAGAATATAACAATTATTGAACAGTCAATAAAACATTTTTAAAATTCAAAGGAGTTGTACAGCTTTTGAACTCAAAGGGACCTCCTACAAGGTCACATAGTCTAAAAGTTTCACTTAGTGATGAAGTAATTAAAACCAGGAGAGATGAAGTGATTTGATTTTGCCCAAAATCACAGCAAGTGACAAATCTTGGAGTAGAAACCAAGTCTCAGTTCCTGATTCATTACTCTTTCTATTCCATTGTGGTTGCCTGGTTCTGTTTGTTTTTGTTTTTTAATGATACATTTCTTTTGGACACATTGAACAAAAACTGGAAGGACACCTCCCACTCCACAAATCACATAAAACCACCAAACATGGTGATTGTCCCTTTCCATTTTGTGGTTTCCCAGTTATAAACAGAAAGGAAGTCAATGTGCTCTCACTTTAACAGCTTGGCACCAACACTGTTCATTGTATTTCATCTGAATGTAGTTGCCTTTGAGAGTGTTTATTTACACGAGTATAGACATTGTGCGTATTGCTCCTCTGATTCTCTTCTTACTCTGTGCCAATCCATCTAGGACTTTTCCTGCTTCTTCTACTTCTTCATAGTTGGCATTCCATACCTTGCAGTGATATCCCATCATAGGCATATGCCACGATTTATTCAGCCACTTCCCAATCATTGGACAATTTTATTTGTAGCTTTTTGTTGTTACAAATAATGCTTATAAGAATATTTTTGAACATGAGTCCTATGCCTGCATGCATTAGCCTTCCTTGGGGTATGAAATTCAGGAGTGGATTTACCAAATAAAAGGGTATGAACAATACAATAATTTTCAGTGCATTATTTCTAGAATGATAGATTCTTCTGGTTGTTAATGCTCTTTCCACCTCCGTGGAATTGCTTTGTATATCTTTTGTATTTACTTATCTGTGTAAATAATTAATGGAAAGATGTAGAGAATATAAGATCCCACTGTGCTAATTGTTTGTCGATTATGAAAAAGAACGTGACTTGATTAAATAAAATATGGCCTACAAGGCTATGAAAATTGTTCAAGATTCCTTAGAAGATGTGACAACAGAAATAACCCCATTCAGTAACCCTCTGATAATAAACATCACACAAGACGTAAAACTGGGAGGCATCTGCTCACCAGAAGTATTTATCACTGTGATGGTGGAATCCCAGTACAGATTCTAGCTTTTTCATGTGACATGGACTTATTTACATTTATTAAATTTCTTTCCTTGCTAAATTTGCATTTCAAAGGCCTTGTTCTGATTTTTTGGAAAAGAATGAATGAAAGCCTGTCATGTTGAAGGATTGTTTTTCTCATGTAGGAATATGCTCATCTTTTTAGGATATGTTACATTATCATATTCTGGCTTTTTTCTTTTAGTAAGGCATATTGCCTGATTTCTTATTATGTAAAATTCCTCCCCCTGGTTGCTTGCTCTTTGATACATTACTTCTAGATCTTGGTGACTACATTTCTTACTGAATAAAAGTTGGAATTTTTTTCCTAGAGTCCTGTGGATTCTATCAAGCCATATTTTGCCCCCCTTTTCTAGTATTTCTAGGCAGTTTTCCATATGGTTTCTTGAAGTATGGTGTTCAGGTTCTTTGTTTCATGGTGTCTTTTTTTCTAGGAGGTCAATGATTCTCTGATCATCTTTGTGAGCTCTGCCAGTTACTTTGGATTGCAGAGGTCTTGAGTGTCCTTTAATTTTACTGTCTTTTGATTTTATTCTGAAGCTTGTGGTTTTGGTTCTGCATTTTTGTTTTCCATCCCTGGAGTTCCCTTTTACATAGTGTCTACTGTTTTGTTAAATTTCCCTACTATCTGTTCTAAGCCATTGATTTTCTTATTTGTCTTTTCTAATTCTAACACACAGTAGGTATTTAATACATGCTTGTTGATTGATTCTTTAAGGGTTCTAATTTCCTTCTAATTTCCTTCAGTTCTTTTTGAACTTCTAAGAAACTCTGGGCCTCCTGAGTTGCTTCAGTCTCATTTTTAGAGTCTTTGGAGTTAATGCAATATTACTCTTTTCTCCTGGAGAGTTAGTTTTCCTAGCTTCTTTTTACCCCATAGTACAGCTTCATTGTACTGGGATGCTTTATTTGCTTACTCTGTTTGTTTAATCTCTATCCTGATTTTTCTCTGGTTTTCCTTGCAATGATTCCTTTTTTTCCCCTATTTTTGGTTGTTGCTCTTCTATTTTATTTGGCACATTTCTTCCAGCTTTGAGGTGATGAAGGGGAGCTGGGATAAGGCATAACCACTCAGCTGTCTTGCCAGAATTCTCCAACTATGGCTGCTGTATGTATTCATGGTACAGTTTGCCTTCTTGAAATCTGGATTGTTCCCAAGCATGTAGGGACAGACGTTCAGCGTAAGCTTCTAATTGAAGGCTTCTTAACAGCTGATACCTTATTTCAGTCTATGACTCTGGTACAAATGAATGAATGAATAGATGAAAAAGCATTTATGGGTGTTTACTATTTGTCAGGCCTCCCTCAAGTCTTTGGGGTTAGGTTTGTGAACTTAACTATTGGTTATATTCTCTCAGGTGAGATTTGTGGGGAAGCTAGGACATGAAGATCAGAGAGGATTTTGCCCAGGACCTCCAGGAGAGTAAATATGAGAGCAAGACTGACCATCTACTGGTAGCTGGATTCACAAAATGCTGAGCAGGAAGTCTGTTGTCTATTGGAATGGAAATCCAGTTTTTTGCTTGAGGTCTGAGAAGGCAGGACCATTGTTGAGTAATATGAGTTTTGTTCCTTGTTTTTTTATGTGAGCTCTTGAAATTAGGGAAGATGAGATTCTCGTCATGGTTTTGTTCATGGAACCAGAGAGAAATCCAGAGAAAGCCCAAGAAAGGGTGGTCCTTGCGATGTGCTTCCTCTTTTGGCCTGTGGTTGCTCATTCTAGCTGACTCCTTATGTGCTCCTCTTCAGGAGTCCCTGGCCTCCCTGCACACCAGTGTCTTCCTAAGTGAGGCAGACTCAATTGCCATCTGTTTGGATTTGTTTTTAGTAAGTAGGGTTCTTGTCAGGGAGTTGTTAATCCAGGTGGTCATCCCACCAGGTGTCTAAGAGACTTAGTGCCATCAAAATGTGACACCAATGTCTTAGAGCCGCCCTTAGATTAGCACCACACAAGGTATATAAACCCAAACCAAATCTAGTTATTGAAAAATAGTATCATGAATCCCTGAGGGTTGCCTTGGTCTTTGGTGACTTTTAAGAGGGATGAGTGTAAAGTTTTTCTCTTGGGTTCATCACTGCAACATATTGAAGATAGGAGTTTGGGAAGCTGGTCAAGAAGATGATGCTTAAGGAAAGGATTTG